AATTTATTTAAACGAGAATTATGATTTTTTGTCCCGGCTTCCCCTAATATTTGTGTTTATTTTGCCAATATGTAATAAAATTATGCATTACTTTATGGACACACTGTATATCAGTAGGTAGCGTGATTTAAATTTATTATTTTAGTTGGATTATTAAATTTATTATTACTTTAATACAAAATTTGTATTCAGAAGAATGGGACAATGCCCGTATTATTTTCCTTTGTAACAAACATTTCGAACGGTTATTCAATGATTGTAACGTACCTACGTTTCAAATTGAATTATTCATACATTGAGGTTAAAATCGATTGGGTTGACAATTTGGGATATTATGCTCCGAAAAAGCCAATTTTCCTATACATACGTATATCGCTCAACTTGAGTATTATTTGGTATCAAAATATCGCAAGAACAGGGATTTAAAACTGAAACTATTAAATGGAAATCTAATTCCACACATTTTTATCAATTTTAACACTCAACCCGCTTCATTAGTTTTTCTTCTCTTTATTTATAAAAAACTGAAAAAATACTAAAAAATGTTCATTTGATGAAATATTCAAATTCTTTAAAAAAATTGATTTGTTTCACTACTTTGTTAAGCAGAAAGGGATGACAATACAATCTGTATCTGTAACGTGTGGAGGGTGGCACTTAGGCCTCATTAGGCCCATTGTGCATCCTACTAGATTGATAGGCACCTCCTAGCTCGTAAGCCAGCTTACAGATTTAATATAATTGACAAAGTCGTCAAAAAGTGCTTCTTTTATATCGGCCGGTGTTAGCCGAACCCAAATCTTCTAGTAAATAAAAGCGTCGAGCAATCGTAAAGAATGTGCTCGATAGTCTCATCTTCTTGTTCGCACCCCCTGCAGAGTGCGGATTCTGACAGCCCCATGATATGGAGATGCTTCCGTACTTAGCAATGACCAGTTAGAATTCCTGTGATCAGGTGCAGATTCTGTCTAGTCATAGTCAAGTATTTGCTTGCTGTAGTATTGTCAGGATAGGTTAAATGCTCCCTGGAAACCCTGCAATTTCTTGTTTTGTCCCATCTTTTCTTGAATTTCACAATGTTCTTTAATTGGATCTATCATTACTGATGTTGTCAGTCCAATAGCAGGGACAAGTATAAAAAGTATTTGGTTAGCTGCCTTCTTGGCTAGTGAATCAGCAAGACGGTTACCTTTCGATGTGGTTTGAGCTTTGAACCATCTTAAGGTGACCACATTGTTGATAGATACTTCAGCCAAAGCAAAGTCTAGTACTGACCCTAAGTTAATTCCTGGTCTGACCAGGATGAGTAGTGCTTATCTGCTGTCTGTACAGATAAGTATGTTTCTTCCAGTGATATTGTTTCTGGTAACTTCTTTTGCTGCTATGAGAATCCCCGTGACCTCGGCTTAAACTAAATTGGCACTTTTGCTCACAGCCCATTTCATATTTAGGTTTAAGGATCTAGAGTATATTCCACATCTTCAACCTTGTTTTGTTTTAGAACCGTCGGTGTAGATATGAATTGTAACTGCACTTCCGGCTCTTCTATTTGTTCCATTCTAACTTTATATTGCTTATAGAAGATATATCTCGGCGAGATGAAGTCCAAGTTCGCTTAAAGCAGTGGAATCGTATTGAGCGCCTCCTGCCAAAAGCGACTTCTTGTTTCAGCAGATTCTACATCAGGTTCTATTACAATTGTACGGCGTCGCGTCATTGTCATAAGAGCAACCTCCTTGATGTAAATATGAAGGGAAGTGAGACTAAGAATGACTTCCATGACTCTGGTTGGTGTGATTTTCATGGCTCCTCTTATATTGAGACATGCTGTTTTATGAATTTGTTCTAATTTGAGGATAGTTGTCAATTGTTGGGTTTCGGTACCCAGACAACTGCACTGTATATTAGCATAGGTCTTATGATGGCCGTGTAACTTCATGTGACGACTCTGGGGGAGAAACTCCAGGTGCGCCCCACGGTTCGGCAACATTGTTCATAAGCAATGTATGCTCTTTTAATTATGTTTTCTTAGTGTGAGTTACGTGTTAACTTGCTGTCAAAGGTGAGACCTAGGTACTTCACCTATGTTTAGGAACTCTTGAGGTTTTAATTCCATTTTCATCCATTTCCTTATGAAAAGGACCATTTCTGTCCTCTTGCGATTGATAGTCAGTGAATGGTTCTTGCACCACTGTTCTATAATTTTGAGAGCAACTTGCATTCTTTCGCAGAGTAGGTATGTTCTCAAAATTCCCTGTTTGCAGAATGACCAGGTCATCTGCATATGCTATTGTGTAGTGACTGTCATTATTGAGGCAGCTGATGAGGGTGTCCAGGACCATGTTCCTCGCAACCAAGCCCCTAATATTCATATCTTCTACACTTATGTTTACTGCTCGCTTTGAGAGTATGTCACGTATCCACCCACTAACAATCTGTGGAACATTCCTGTTGGTTAGTGAGTGTATTATCTTGGAGAAGGTGGTTTTGACAGCAACTAAGTAAAGGGCTAAATCAGTAAATCTGCTTGGATGACAATGCAATGTTGAATAACAATAATTTTATGGAAAAGTTACCCTGATATTTAAAATTACTCATTTTCTACCATTCGTCCAATGACAAAATAATAAGTGTATACATAATAATATCGATAAAGATATTAGAGGTATACAGTGAACAAGATTTCTCATCAAAAATTCAAAATTATCAGATTTTTAATTTATGTCAGTTAATCTTTATACGAAAATACGAGTATATATCTATGAGCAAGTTAGATTATTATCTCAAATTTTGAAAGCCTAAAATAGTTAAGATTGTCATCAGGTTAATTTTGTTTATTTTCTTTGTTATACCGGGTGTTCAAATTAAAGTGTTACAATTAAATACCGCCGAACATATGTATTTTATAAAAAAAGTTTCAGACAAAACTTTTATAGTTTTTTGGGGGAAACATTTTGGCTAAATTAATTTTTTATAGCTGACCATAATATGGCCATGTCGAGGTGGACTTCTCTATTTTAAATTGGAACCCCATGTTTTTTTACGTATTCTTAAAGTTCATAAAGAAATAAGAAAGTTTTAAAGAAAACATTTTTTTTATTGGACTTTTACTTATTGAGTAACACCTGCATAAAAATTTTGCTGTGCACAAAAAAGTAGGCCATATTATGGTTAACTATAAAAAAAAACGATTTTAGCCAAATTTTTTCCCCAAAAAACTATATAACTTTCGTCTGAAATGTTTTTTTTATGAAAGGAGGTATTTAACTGTAACACTTTAATTTGAACACCCGGTATAAATGTTTTTAATTATTATTTAATATCGTAAATCACATTGTACTAGAAAATACAAAAATAATGGTACAGTTAATGGTTTGGTATTTCTAGATAGTAATTTGAATGCTGAAATGTATAAGAACAAGTATGTATTTGATAAGATGGCTTTGATTAATAAAATCAATATTCTATACTAAAAAAAATTATTGGTTCCTAGGAAGAAAATCAAAGATGTCATTGTACAATATATTGTTGATTTATAAACAAATCCTAAAACCAGCCTGAATTTATAGAATACAGCTATAAGGATGTATCAATAAGAGTAACACCAAAATAAAGTCATAATATGCATCTTCGATTCACCTTGGTACCGAAATGATTATACAGGGTGATTCATTATTGGGACATAGGCCAAGGGCAGGTTAATTGCACCAAATTATGGTGATAGGGCCAAATATACGTTAATAAAATATTGCTGTGGAATAATATACAGTGCGTTAAATAATAATAATAGTAATAATAATATAATCTAACATCAAAAATATTTCACTGACAAGAAATGTCATGTAGAAGACACACTTATATGATACTGCAAAGCGCACTTTTCATAAATGAAATATTTTTAAAACTCCCCAGCTGAGATTTGTGAGCTGTTTAATTGCGTTTTTCTCGAAAACGGGTGAAATTATCGTATTTAAACAAAAATATACTGGTATATATGTAGAAATGATGTTTACATCATATTTTCTAATCAAAAACACTAAAAATTTTTGTCAAAAAAAGCTACCACTTAATTTAATCACCAGAAATCGTTCACGTGGCGCCCCCTATAACAAAATGTGAAATAATACATAAAATATTATTTCCTTTTCAAAGATATACCTCTGTACCGATTTTGATAACCATTCATAAATATACAGTGACATTATCAGAAAAAAACGAAAAAAAAATTCAACTTTAACGCCCTGTATCTTATTCCACAACAATATTTTATTAAGATATATTTAGTCCTATTGCCATATAATGGTCAAAATAACCTGCCCTTAGCCTATGTTTCAATAGTTATAAATCACCCTGTATAGAGACCTAAAGAAGCCAACAGTTGAAGTAAAGAACACTGCCCTGTGGGATACCTGCTTTCATTTATGATATCTATTGAATATCCAATAATGTTTAGGGAACAACTTATAAATATCATTTTCAGTCACTTCCGTCAAGAAATATGAATTGATTCTTTAACATTTTAATATCCTGCAACACGTATTTTAATCTTTTTATAGGAAAATTTGGTGTACATAATATAGATTATTTAGTTTTTATGATAAGCACAGTTAGGGTTAAACATTAATATATGAAAAGCGCAGATACCTTTTAATAAGGTTGTAAAAGAAAAAGCGGTTATGTTATACACATTATACAACCTTTAATACGGCTATATATTATACAATCTTGTCATGTACATGTCTTATACAGTTTGGTATTTGTAAGGAAAGGAGAGTAGCCTCACAGCTATTGCTAACCTAAGCCAATTGTGCATCTTCCTAAATTGATATCTTTTCCACAGCAACTTTATTATGACATATTTAGTATTTACATTAATAGCTCACAGTTTAACTGATATTGATATTATGCTGATAAGTAAGTACTTTATAAAAAAGGAAAATAGAGTATGGCGTAATAAAGAAAATTTATATTAAAGTCTGTTATTGGTAATAAAAACTCACCTGGTAAAGCACAAACCATCTCAACTGCCACTTGTTACTATCCGCCGATCTTTTATGAAGATATCCAGCTAAAGAATGATCGTTATGAGCTCGTTCCGATAGCATTATGAGTTGGTTTTCGTTCACCCGGATAGTCCTTTGCATCTTAGGACTCAACATCATGTTAGATTGATTCTACCCTGAAAAGTAATAAATTTTATAATACGATATTATCACAAACCTAATATGGCAATATTTGTGTATTGCTAAAAAATAAATTAGTAATATTAAAAACTATGGTTTTAAAAGTTTTCTCATCCAGAAGTACCAATTCAAAAGAAAAGTAAGTATCATGTTACCAAAGAAATCATATATATCTAATATCCTTTTCAAAATAGAAAGAACTTATCTAAACATAAACTACTTTTAAATCATAATTTTTTTTATTATTATTATATTTCCAGAAAACCAAAAGATCTGACAACAATGTAAATACAACCAAAATATCGGCCGTATTACAAAACCTTTACAAACCGAAGTATATAAAAATCGTGCAAGCCGTTTTCGAGATAATTGAGGCGTAGCAAATTTAAAACTCAAAAAATTAAAATTTAGTAACCGTAATTGTATTTGAATGTAATAATTTATACTAATAAAAATTTATTATTTTAATTTTTTTATAAATTTAAATCTCCAGGAAGATATTTTACTTCATTATAGAAGTTCAATAAGTACCTATTAGGAACTTGAAAAACGTCCCTATTGCAAATTTTGTAAGAAACAACTCTTCCGTATATTTTAATCATACTCAAATGAATTGTCTAGTACTAGTAGATATTCAACGAATTCATTTTATTTGTATGGCGCAACATCAGAATAAACAAGAACGACCCTACTATAGTATAAGACATTTTTATAAACAACAAGCTTCCGTTAATTTTAAGAAATTCGTTGACAGTTACAAAGCCAACTTCGCAATTAGGCATTCCAAACAAAATGGTTGCCCGCAGGTAATGACAGGTCACTGACAGGCACATGATAGGTAATGATATGGCAACACTGTAGACCTGGTGATTTGACGGGGTCAGTGGTATAAATAATTATGGAAATGTTTTTAAAAATAAACATAAGCTTATGAGTTGAAGTAAAAATGTAGGTAATTATTTTTTAATTTATTCAAAGGCTGGAAATTGATTTAACAGAACATTTTTGCTAAACCGATTTAAATTAATGAGCCCTTGCCAGGCAATATGGCCGCTTGTGAACGACCCGATTTGAGCAATATATATAACTATATATGAGGAGTCCATTTCCAAAACTTCTAAAATTCACTCAACCATTTTTTTCAGTAAACGAATAAAACCTCTCACCGTTTTCATATGTATACTAATTTTTTTATAATTACCTTGGTATCATCATGGTGTATCATTACTTTATTTGTATGCATTAAAATAAAATTGACATGGAAATAAGCTCAGAATTTCAAAAAAACAAATAGATTTAAGCAGTTTTGACACAGTACGATGGATCTAAAAAGTTTTGAATAAGTCGGAAGTGGATAAAAAAGAGTTTTGGATACCTAGGTAAAACAATCTTTTTGTTATAGAAAAAAACTTTAATATCCATGTAAGTTTGAATTTCAAAAAATCATTGAAATCAAAGAGAAAATTAAAAATGGAATATCCAATATCAGATCCGAAGACCATCTTCTTCCACGTTGGGGAGAGTGGTATTTTCATCAGGCACTCAGGCACTTCTAGCTGATTATCATCATTATTATCAATAATCCTTTAATAAAACGTTAAATCTACCCACACATGTTTCTCCAATCTGGACGAAAATGCTTTTCCAAAAGGTTATCATTTAACTTCAATGGATTGACTGGAACTTTTTTGGAATAATAGTCGCTAGACTTTTTCCTTTTTTCAACATAAACTTGTACACTCTCACAAGGACTTTTTTTCCTGATGAACTAGCTTCTTTCTTAATTATCATCTGCTTCGCCGAAGAAAATTGGAAATGCTATTGGCCAGGTGGTTTCACATGAGTCTCTACTGCTTTTTTCCAATCAAAAACATCAAAGTCACTTTCAATATCTAGTACAATCGCAAACTCGGAAAATATGGCCCTATACTCCTTTGGATCAATTATGATCTCTTTTCTTTTCACAACCTTCTCTATTCTTCCGAAAATTCCGTCTGGTGGTAAATATGAGAGACCTACAATAAGATAGATGACGTGAATCTCCTCAACAACAGATCTGGTAAAGTATAACCAATTCATCAGCATACCTACTGTGACGAAGTCACTAAATTTTGCTCTTAATTAATTTAAAAAATGTTTTTCAATTAATTCCCGCCTGTGGACATGTAGAAGTTTCCCAAGAATTACCGGTTTTCAACAATTGCGAGTACCCTCATAGGTTAAAATATTCCTATATTTGCCGAAATTCGAATGGGCATTTTGTAGAGTCGATTTCGTACCGATTATCTACCTTTATTTGTCAAGGTACTAGAAGGACATTTTTTTTATTTTTAAATTGTAAACAGTCGGCTGTAGTGGTGGTATCCCCACTCGGGCTTACCGGTCTGCTATCTTGCCCAGCGAAAAAGCATAAATTCGATGACATCTGGGAATTACCCTCTCTTGATTGCCGGCAGCCGAAAACTATTCGCTCTTCTATAGTGCCTAGTAAATACTCCGTGAGTGACCGTATTATCGAAAGAATATTGAACAACCCCGTTTATTTTTCTAAAGGTAGGAAACCGTTTATTATTTTTTTTGTTTACAATTAGTTTGGGACACCCAACCGACAAGTGAAATAATTTTGATTCATGCCCAACATTTTTCATTTCATAATTTTCATAATTTATTTTTCATAAATTTTCCGGATATAGGGATCCGTCAATATTTAAATAGTTTTCAGTTATAATAATTTATTTTTAATAAATTTTCCGAATATAGGGAGCCGTTCATATTTATTTACTGTTGTATTTATTTTTTTTGTAAATATATATTTTATTACCTATTCCTGTGTTTCTCTTATTGCTGGTTTTTAACCGTTCTCTTTCAGGATAGCGTAGGGTACGAGGTGTAAAGGAGATAAGTGTTTTAATTATTCTAATATAGTGGCTACCTAGCAGTGACCGCCTGGAATTATTTTTACCTCCACTGAGTTCACCTTGAGTACACTCTAGTGTACCACAGGGTCGCAGAGCAAACTGCGATACCAAAACTGGCGCCTGAGCAACCCCTATTCCGGAATCACCTTCATAGCGCCACACAGACTCGCTGATTCACTATAGGTGAACCAGAAGCCTGTCACACTACATAGGAAAAACAACAAAAATTACATTGGAAAACAAAAAAAAAATAAAGAGTGACGTTCTTGTTTTGTCTTGGGCATCCGTCGCAATAAAGCTTCAATACAGTAACGTTTGTAAGGCTCAAAGAAGTGATTTTTGCATGTAACATCGATAAAATTTCATTAGATTCCTTGCTTCTGAGATTTTCTGTCCATGTGTAACAAGTAATAATAATAATAATAATAATAATTGTTTGGCTTTCGAATGACCTTCGCAAACTGTGAAGTTGTGTAGTTACAACTGCCTAGAATAATAGGCGGCCTGATCGGGAACCCGGGGAAGAAGCATATTTTTTTGCAATCAAATGTTAATTTGATTACGTTATCTTACGAGAATTGTAGAATTTCAACAAATGCTTTTGCTTTCAATTTATGCACTCTCAATCTGCATATCGAGGGTATTCTGACGCAACCACGTAACTCAATTTTTGGGAGTTCTGAGTTAAACCCGAATTCATTTTTAGAATATGCTTTTACATAGCTGTAAAATTTTAAATTAAAATCTTTACCCGTTAATTATTTATTTAACAAAATAAAACCTCGTATCTCAGACGCCGAATGTTGAAAACACGTACTCATATCATACAGTCACGCTCTGTAGGTTTGTACGGTAAAAGCTGAAAATAACGTATGACGTTTTGACTGGTTTGGATTAATTTTTTGAGAATTTCGTTTATTTCTTGTAATATTCATGTGTTTCGAAACTTTGTGACTGATTTTAAAATAATCGAAAATTTCTGATTCCGTTAGCTAATAAAATGTTTTTGCCTTTCCTGTAAAATAGTGTTTTCTGAGATACGAGGTTATGTCAGAGTACCTTAGATATTAGTTTGGTCTTCATTTGCCCAGTTGAGATTGAAATTAAGACCTTTCAGTCTAATACACTCTGAACAAGCGTCTGTTGCAGGGCTCTTAAAACTGATAATCAGTAACAAAGAATTTGCGAAAGTATTCATATTTTACAAGCAAGTCTGGATTCTGGTTACAATAGGCTTTCCACAAATGCCTGATACTACAGTCGCTGGGCATATATTGACGTTGGAACCTTTCTCTGTCATAGTGTGAATCGACGCACTTCAGATTCAAGATAAAATTTCTTACACGTTCCTTTCTCGTCAAAAAATGTCTGCTTCTTTTGTCGCCACCTCTATATTCTTTCGGCTAAGTACCCTGGGCGATATAGTGCCTACACACATTTTGGACTCTAAATCTTGAAATATTGAGGATAGAAAGAAAAGCTTTGCTAAAAATTTCCCGTTGACCTTCTTTAGTTTTAATAAAGTAGGAGACAGTGACTGAATTAGGACATGTCTCCTTTGTAGGACGGCGTCTTTTTGGCTGCCTTTGTGACGTATGTTTCAAAATGAACTTGTCTATCTTATTTCTATTTGCATAAAATGCGTCATGAAATTTTCTTGTGTCATGCATGGACAACGTAGAACAAGAAAAATTGGGCATCTTATGAATGCAATTTGGATGAGTGGGGAGTCTTTTAGGTCTATCCCTATGAAAACAAAGAAACCACTTAACATCACAAAATGCAATAATTTGTAAATCTTGCACTTTGCTTTTGAGTTTTTCCACTTGCACACATCACGTTAATTTTTTCTACCCTTTCCAGGTGTAGCTAGAAGTACATATTCTTTCATAATATAGTTTTTTCTATTATTTAAACTAAATACTCTATTAATATCTCACAAAATAAAATCATCAGATTCGGAACTGGCTTAACCAGTTGAAAATAAAAATACAACTGAAATAAAAACAAAACAAATCCTGCAAGAAACAAGTGGAATGTCAAGGACTAAAGCAGTTATGATAGCATATACACGATCA